CTCGAAAAACTGAGAGAAATTATCTATGAAGGTGGTTATTTTGACGAACATGTTTATAATTGCGATGAAACTGGTTTATTTTGGAAGCTGTTACCGTCGAAGTCACAAGCAACAGCAAGCGGCCCACATAATATCAGACACAAACAAAATAATCAACGCAATGTTTACAGCAAACATAATCATGATTTTATTCGAATACTGCCTGACACATGTGATGATACATCAATTAACTAAACCGAGGGTTTATATGTGCTTTTTATATGTTTTTCAATGCACGACCTCCCTCTTTCACGACGTCCCTCGGTAAGTCGCGGCCCTCGATAAGTCGCGATTTTTGCTTGGATCCCAACACCAGCGACTTAGCGAGGGGCCACTGTATTAAGATAGGTGACTAGAATTAGATAGTAGAAGACCAAAATGTCACACTTGCTTTAGACAGCACGTCTTGTATACAAAGTAGCTGGTTGAAAGTAGATAGCTACATTTATATAGTCACAAGCGTTCTCTCAGGGAAACTCCTGTATTATTGAATGATAATTTATTGTTTTGAAAATGCATTCACAATTTGGTTTATGTATCATAATGATTTGTTTTCAATGAAATAAGTTTAATAGAATGAATTAAATCATAGACCTTTTCTAAGGTCTATGACTAAATTTGATTGTCTAGAACTTAGTTTTATTTTGGTTGGTGCAGACTTAATGAAATGAGTCAGCCATAAAAGTACTATTGTTTGTGAAACTTCTCCAGTTCACATGTATTTAGTTTTGTAATCTAAAATATTTGATGTACTAACTTACAATGTCATAAAATGTGAAGTAATTGCATTGGTATTTTAGGGAAGGCCACATAAAAATATTTGGGAAGAGAAGAACAAATCTTGTATACAGATTTGTACCAGAAAAAAATCAATATATATATGGGCAATATGTACTGAAACTCGTGTAAAATGATTACTAGAACAGTTAAAAACAAAATTCATTTATCACCCTTCCGTAGTGGTCCACCCCTCATTGATTTTTAGTAATAATATTTAAGATGATTTTTTTTCTGTTTTGCAGTTGTTGTTTCATATCAGCAATGACTTTGGAAGTTCTAGTTATCACTATTTTTTCTATGCAAGTCGTGTTGCGTTACAAATCATGTCAGGACAGGCCTTCGTTCCTGATGTGCTGCCTCTTACCACTCATGGTGATGAAAAGATTGCTAATTTTAAGGTCAGTCATAGAGGTCCTGTATCATCGGTTTACTGTCACTCATGGACAAGTTGCTGAATGAGTTTGTACAATTATTTCAACTCTGGGGCTAATCTGAATGTTATGTTGAATGTCTTGCGGACTTATCCAGTGTATGGAGATTTCTTGGGGACATGTCTGTGCATATTAAATAGCTAATTTGCATAATAATTATCTTATTTCAGGCTGTGTTTGCAAAATCTCAAAAACTTCTGAGCGAATTTTGATTAAATTGCATACATATGTACCTTGGAATAATACACAGCCATGATTAGTTTTAGGACAATGTCTGTGCATATTAAGCAGCTAATTTGCATATTGATAAAGTTTAGTACATATGTACCTTGGGGTACTGGTATGCTGAATTCCAACAATAATCTCACTCAATTCTGTTCTCACAATCAAAAATTTTCAACCATCCACAGTGTTCTATGATGTTATTGGCTAGAACCATATTCAATTGTTACGTACAAAATGAGGTCACATCCCAACCCTTGCAAAGACCTAGAGTTAGCGTAAGATTTTCATTGCATATAACCATACATGGTTGTGAATGTTGCATATCTTTATCTTATAAATCCCTGACAGTATAGATACAAATGTCTGTGAATGTTTCTCTACATTCATTGTCATGTATCCAAACCTGTTAACAGACTTATGTTATCATCTAAAATTTTAGATGTCATAATGTTGCTTTTTTTACAGATTATTTGGAAACCTCTGTTTACTTGTAGCACAGTGGAAGAACAGCTCAACAAATTGGCAAATCTTTATCCAGGTATCTAACAATAAATTTGCTTGTGTTTTCTAGTTGTGTTTTTTAGTCTCCGCTTTTGACTTTGCTGAGCGGAGCTTATCATATGAGTCATTGTCTGTCGTATATGTCAACTTTTTACTTTTTCGACTTCTTCTTGAAAACTACAATTCTTATTGCTTTTATACTTGGTGTATATATACCTTGGGTAGACCTCTCTTAGATTAGTTCATTTCGTGATGATATCTTCAATTCTCTTATTTTGATGAATACTTGTCATTTTTGGTAAAAAGTGATATTTTTTATTTCTTGTTGGAAACTGCAAGTCTGACGATATCTTTAACACACATTCTACATCAACATTATTAAAACTCTCATCAGTGTCATTCTAATGAGGTGGAGCTCTACATGCGAAATTACGAACATTAGTAAAATTTTTCATACATTATGGATGTTCAAATTGTCATATGCAGTTTTTTTCTTTATATGTCTTGATTAGACATGCTAAAATGTAATAAGCATATTATACTCAAAATATTATTGGGGCATCATTTTGCACATTTTTTAAATATTTTTCGACAAATTCTTTGTTTGGATTAAATTGGCATAATCTCCCATTGCTTACAGATATTGATCATTTTTTTTTGAAAAAAATATGATTGTTAATTTTGAGAAAAATTATAAAAGTTTCTAAGATTTCGACTTCTTACTAGAAAATTTAAACTTTTTGGTTTGCAGGTAAGCCATGTGTGAATGTTGGTAAGAAAGACCTGGACGGCAAGTCAGCTGGTTTGCATTTCATGTCTGTAGTCTTCACTCGCTACGTTCGAGATCTTGGATTCATGCATAAAAAACTGAAGAATAGTCCTCCCAAAGAATCTTTGGCATTCTTCCATGGTAACATATTTCAAGTACTCTCTCTAGCAGAGAAGAGCATTCCCAAGTCTATTGCAAAGGTAGGGTAATACGGATTTTAATTTGTACTGATCAAATATTCGTGTTGGAGTGTATTTATGCTGCATCTCATCGATGTTGATGCTTTCATTTTTATGTGGTGTTTTAAATTTCAGTACTTTGGTGTTTTTGATTTGATGAAGACTGACTTTGAAGTATCTGTGCATGTGAATCAGCTTGCTGGGAATATATCTATTAAGGTACATTACACTATTTGTATGTAGTGTCTCTAGTTATCTTATGTGCATCATTTTGAATGTCTGATATTAGCAACTACTGTGCAGGTCAATTTCCTTATACTTTAAAGACACACATGGTAGATTTATGTAAAGGCTGAATTCCTGATTCTACATAGATTTGTATGGAAGCTAAACTCCTGACTCGCCATAAAAATAATTGCTAAGTTGCTGATTATGTGAAAGACTTCTATCATATTTGCTCTATCAGAAGAACATCTCTTCACACATAGTGTATATATGTATATGATCAAGGATTTATAAAATTTCGCAACCGAAATCATTACAAAAATTACATGACAAATCTACATTTCCTGAAGTTCTAATGCAAATTACCGGGAATGTTTTTGTATGGATTTTTTTTCACTGATTTTTGATAAGTAAAATAAAGGAGAAAACATGTATCCTCCTTTCAGCGACAATAAATTCCAAGCAAAAATAAAGGAATTTCCAGTGGTGTGACTGTAAAAAAAGCCGATTAATGTTCTTTTTAGATTGTTTTTGGTAGTGATCCAAGACTATATCTATATTTTTACGCAATTAAACCTTTCTAAGAGTCCACTGTGTTCTTTGACAATAATAATTAGAGTTGCGCTTGTTTCAGGCACCATCAAATTAGATCTCTTTCAGTGCTTGCAAAGTATGACAGTCCATTCCTTGTAATACCTTTATCACATATCAACAAACATGGTTGTGAAAGTTGTATACCCTTATCTTATAAATCTTTAGTATGACTTATTTTGACCATAGACCAAAAAAAAAAATGATTGTATAGGTAATGCTGAAAGTATATCTGATATAGATATCAGCCATGTTCTTTCTTTCTTCATATCGTCTCCATGGAGATGACATCTGACATAACACTGACAAGATTTGTCTACAAATCAGATAATGACTTACTAAAAGATTAGTCTGTGAAAGCAATTTATAATATTGTGCTGTGTTGTTGATCGAATGCTTTCCATTCATATTATTTCATGTCATGGTTCAATTATAGGCCACATTACTAAAATTTGTAATATTTGATTTTTCATTTTCACCGCAGCAAGAATATGATGATGTGGATCTTGGCATGTCTTTGATAGATGAGTATCAAATGGGTTTGTGGTTAAAACCTAAGAAAGTTGACCGTGCTGAAAGTCTCCCTGTACGAACGTACATGAAACGTTATCCGAATACGAGAAATCAGGTAAAATATGCGTCAAAAATAATGGATTTACTATTGCATGATGGCATTTATTTGTAGTGGTTAATAATTTTCTCTACTGAAACACCACAAATAGGGACTTATAGATTGACCTCTATTCCATCTGATTCAAAATAGCCAGTGATCATCTCCAGTCATGGACAAACTGCTTTAAACAAAACAACTTTCAAGAAATATAAAAAAAAAAAATTGCATTTTGCACTGTTGTCTATGGTATAATTGTATCTTCTTATTCCTGAAATTTGGATTGGTGACATTACATAAAAAAAATCCTGTATTATTATTGATATGAATGCTAATATTGTTGAAATATTATCTAAAAATTTACGTTTGATTGACTGTGTCTCTTATAATGCACTGCATATATAGACATATTCAGTAGTGCAAAATTAGAATCAGGGTCAAACAGTTTTCAGTACACATTCATACATTTATTGAATTAATTTATTGAAATATGTGTATGGTAGCTGTAAATAGAAAATTATGAATATCGTTTATTTGTATGCTTGCTGTCCTATAATTAATAAAAGGGTCGGTAAACTATAATTACATTTATCACAGAATGACACTTTCTGTTATGTCACTCAAACCATCAATAGGCTTTCAACAAATTGCTTCTGTCTTTGTGGAACAAACAATTACAAGTATCAAGTCAAATTTTCTGATTAGATTTTGGCATACTATATATGTATTAATTATGCGCAAGTTTTTAATTTCAATATTTTCACAAAAAAGTAAAATTCACTGAATACATGTGAACTTGAATAACAAAATAACTTATTGTTTCTCTGCCAAATTTGTGAACTTAAAACCTATTGAAATTGTTAAAAGCATCAAAATAGTGAAATTAAATGCCAGTAAAAATAAATGGTTTTACAGTATACTGTAAACCATTTTATAACACAGTACCTGCTGAAAGCCCCTTGGACTTGCCGAAATAAATGAAAAAGGCATAGACCGGCAATAATGTTAATTTCGCAAATTAGGGATTTTAAAGCAAAAGCACTCGCATACATGAAGATATTCACAATTATCTAATTTGCAATAAATTGTATTTCCAGTAACTATAAAAATGTTGACATACAATTTTGTTGGGGGTTACCAACCTATCTTTAAAGAATATATAGTAATTGGCAGACATTTGTCAGTATTAGAATTGTTTTTAACATTGGTTGCTATGGTGGAGATTATTTGCTATACCCCAAATTGAGTAGTGTCTTTGTCAGGAAGTAAAAATGATACACAGTAGTAGTGTATGTTTCTATTAAAAATACATTTTTTTATTCAGGTGTTAAAGTTTCTGTCCACTCTGGTGCCGTACTTGAATCAAGTAGAACGATTGATGATATCTGATGCTGTACCAATGTCTAGTGATGATCTGGAATCTTTTATACTGGAAACCATCAGAATTTTCACCAACCTTGGTGTTAAAGTTGTCCTGCCAAAAGAACTCATGTAAGTACTTACTTGTCTATTCATAGTAATAAGTTGCACCTTTAGCAATGGATCAGTGTGAGAAGAATGAAAAGGGGACTACTTGGTTCCCTTCAGTGACAGTTTGACAACAACCAGTTTTGATGGTGAATATACAGATCACTTTTATGTCCATCCTCTCCACATACATGTGTTGACCCTTGATTACAATTGCCATGTTTATCTATTGATTTGCAGGAAAGTTTTGAAACCCAGAGCTGTAATACATGCTGAAAGCAAGGACAGTTTGTCTGGAGCCAGTCATCAAAGTTTCTTTACACTCGACCAGATGTTATCCTATGATTGGAAGGTACTAGTTGTATAAGTTTTATTGCCATCAATCATGTACAAACATGTGCATTAATATTTGAACATTGTCAATCAACTCATATAAGTTATAAGTCAGTTAGGTGAGACTTTCAATAGAAAAATATCATGAGAAAGAGTTTCGCTTCATTAATTTATATTTTTATTTGTTTGTTTGTTAGTACATTGCAAAATGTTTATTATATATATCTGTATACATCTCAAATAGCATTGCAACCTCAATTTTTCCTGACAGAGATCTAGTGTCATTAACATGAATCAGACATTTGTAAATCATTTAATCCCTTGTGTTTGAGACATCGATCAAAGTGCAAGATTCTCTGTAATTAGAGAGTTAGAGCAATTTATTTGAAGCTGCTGAAGTTAGTTAAATCCAGATTTTCCACTACTCATCATGCTGCCATGCATGTGTGCAATGCATTATGATTGCACTATGGGAGAGAAGTTGAATATACTATTAATCCGAAACTATTATTTCGCTTGAATACTTGCTATTAAATTTAAACATGCTTTTTTTTTTCAAATTGTAATAATACTTGATTTACTATGAATTACAATGCATATTATTTGTCAATGTGTCCAAGGGCAAAGTTTAGAAATATCATCGCCATAGAAACCATTGTAAGATCAATAATATGCAAGTTTTACCATTTTTCAAGGACATTCAGGAACCCAAAAATTGTTTGGCTTTTTGTTCACATATTTATTATCCTTAATGCCAAGTAATGGTACTCAATAGTATTAAAAGTACAAAGAAATTACAAAATTTTCAATTCAGTCAAACCACATTAAATATTCCTACAGATCTCCCAATCATAGGAGATTTATTAGATATATTAATTTATTTAAGTATTTCATGAAGATAAATTAAGAGGTAGTAGTAGGTTGCCATGGATACTTCAAGCATCACTTAAATTCTGATGTTGTCCCACTTTGGACTTAAGAAGCTGCCTGATTAGCTAAAACATTGGCTGCAAGACATTTAGAGTCAAGTATTATTTAAATATATGATGTTATTATGTAGAGTCATCTATCTGATTGCAGACATTATTGACAAGCGTAAATGCATGTGTACATGTAACTTATTATCATTTAATGTTACAGTAGTACCATGGATTTGAAATACTGTAAAATACTTTATTTTCACTTGGAATTAATTTTCACTGAAAGAATGATTCATACAAAACACCCAAAAACCCATTAATTCCAGCTAATTTAAATTGATTTTACCTACTGATAATTTAATTTATTTACTGATTGACATTTTTTAGTACCGGTAGTACACACACTTAAAAAAATTTGCAAATTGCAGGTATTACCATAAGTCTGATTTTAATGATGTAGACAGGTTTATATTTTTCCAAGGACACATAAAAAGGTTTCAAAATTTACTTCTTGTCTGAGAGAAAATTGAAAAAATTATATGATTTGATTTTTGTTTTGTTTTTTTTAATTTAGAATTATTCAGTAACACAACAAAAAGAGATATATATTTTCAATGTTAACATTTATTAAATAAAGCTTTTAAATACATCTATGTATGTATAATGAAAATAATGGTATAACCATATGTAAATTAGGCATGTTAATATTCAAATTAGCTGCCATGATTGGACTTACTGCGGATGGCTTTGTTTACTTCTAACTATTATCACCTTTTACAAATTGAATTTGTTTTTCGAAAATAAATATTAAGACCTAAGAAATTTTGTCCATTTAATTCAAAATAAACAAATAAATTATAAAATTTTGCAAAATATTAATTATCTGAATTATAGATTTTTTGGTTTGAGTAAAACATACTCCATTTTTACTACAGGCTATCAAATTTTCAAAGTCATTTTTCTAAACATTTATTGCATAAACTCAAATGTGAATGTTGAATAATAATAATAATCAGAGACATTTTCAAAATTATGTAAAAGTGAGTATATATAATATCCCGGTTTCATAAAATGAATACAGTGGCTCCTCGCTAAGTCGCAGGTGTCAGGATCCAAGCAAAAAACGCGACTTACCGAGGGATGTCATGAAAGAGGGAGGTCGTGCATTGTAAAACATATAAAAGCACATATAAACCCTCGGGTTAGTTAATTGATGTATCATCACATGTGTCAGGCAGTACCGGTATTCGAATAAAATCATGATTATGTTTGCTGTAAACATTGCGTTGTTTATTTTGTTTGTGGTTGATATTGATGGGTCGCTTGCTGTTGCTTGTGACTTCGACGGTAACAGCTTCCAAAATAAACCAGTTTCATCGCAATTATAAACTTGTTCGTCAAAATAACCACCTTCATAGATAATTTCTCTCAGTTTTTCGGGAAAAGTTCTGACAGTGTCAGTGTTCCCATATCGAGCTTTGCCTTGGATTGAGACTGCGTGTATCGATAGCGCGTCTTCTTTGCCATCGCAAGAACCACCCTGAACTGGCCTCAAATTCAAAGTCGTCATATCTTAGTTGTGTGCTTTGCATTGGGTGATGGGACCAGATAGTGGGCTTGTGGCTTTTAATAGGGATGTGGCTTTTGATACAGATTTTACGGTGCTTGCGTTTTGCATTTTTGAATAGGACAATATTCTTGCTTCTGTTTACACTATCAAACTTTTTCCAAGCATCCACTATGTTTAGTGATTCCATTAGTTAAAGCAAAGACACTAGAGAAGATCTCTAGTATCTTTGGTTAAAGACACTAGATAATACAGGGACATGCAACGTCTTTCTTTCTAATGTCTTTGGTTAAAATATGTTTTATTGATTGTGCACATTGAACTCACAAGATCATAAGATTGTTATTGCATATAAACTTGCATAGACATCAAAGTTGCATAAGGTAACCTCATCTTATACATTCTTGTAAATATATACATTTCTGGAAATCATATCTTGTCTATGTGAATGCACATAAATCAATGTGAATATATTGCTATACTAGATTGCTATTGGTGACGAGGTGATATCTGTAGCAGAGTTTCAGAAAATGGTGCAGGCTGGCAATAAATTGGTAAAGTTCAAGGATAAATATGTGTCAATCAGTCCTGAAGAGATGAGAAATATTCTGTCTAGTGTACAGAAACAGATACCAAAGATGTCAGCATTGGACTTACTCAAAGAGGTAGGAGAAATGATTGTGTTTAAAATTCTCCTTTGAATTAGCCTGTATTTTGACTCGGTGGTTGTAAAACAAATGCAGAAAAGTAAGCCAGATTGTTTCAAACGCATTAAGGCAGTCGTTTAGTTTTTAGAAGTCTTTAATTTTTGATACATGTATAAGCAAAGCTGATTCCAGATTGACTGAAAAACATTTGTTTATTTTATTGTTTAAATTTTGTGGCTTATTTAGTATTTGCTGTCAAGTGCTTGTACAAGTTACCAGAAAGTCTATAAATTCAAGTCCCACTTATACTGACCTTCATATAGCTGGTTATCATAGAAAATAAATACAAAACTACAAAAATCATGAAGCTCAACATGTTAAATGCTTGGTAATTGCTGGTAGCTCCATCATTTTTGTGAATTTGTATGTATTTTCTATAATTCCTTTATTAATTCAATACACAGTCTTGATCAAAAGTTTTGAAAAAAAAGATAAAAACAAAATATTTTAATTAATTTTGTGAAAGGTATCAAAAGTTGACTTTGAAGGTCAAAGGTTATTATAACAAGTTATTTTCATTTCAGTCTCTTGTGGTGGATTCTCCATTCCATCTGTCATCCGATGTAGAAGGTTTCTTGAAACGCCTTATCAGAGTTTCTGACTTCCCTGTACCCGCTGAGTTAAACGCTACACTACGTAAATACCAAGTAAATGGTTTCAAATGGATGGTTTCTAATCTTCTCAATGGATTTGGGGTGAGTTGTTACTGTGTTAAAATACTGTATTCTCCCTATTAGAAGGGTTCTCAAATAAAAGCACACATAAACCAAAAATTTGATAGAACATTGAAATATGATTTAAGTTTACCATAGACACACCTCTGTCATTTAGACGAGCAAATGTGCTAATGATAAAGCAAATACGATAGTTTGTTTAAAATGATATCACTAAACGTGAAAGTGTTTACTTATTCATAAAGATGTTTCATTCAAAGAAAAAAGTAATAAACTAGGATAGCAAGATTTAGAACTGCAGTGAATTTCAAATAATTGTTCAGGCAATAAACTGCAAGTACCTTGAGATTCAAAAATCTCTGAAAATCCACAGAAAAGTTCCACGTCACATTTTATCTGTTGAATGCAAGATTTTGAAATTATGACAAAAGTTATGTATTCTGGTTTTTCATTGCACGAGAAAATTGTGGAATGTTATAGCAGTCTGCCTTAAATGAATTTCTGATAGTGATAAAAACAGAGTTGTATAAACCAATTGGTAATAAAAATTTCATTCCAATTACACATTTCATTTCTATGTTTTCAGGTGATATTAGCTGATGATATGGGTCTGGGTAAAACTATTCAGACAATCACCACAATATTACACTTAAAGCTGACTGGTCAACTGGTCAAACCGGTACTGTTAGTAGTGCCAACGAGCGTAATGAGTAACTGGGAGAGGGAAGTAAAGAGATTCGCACCATGCTTGACAGTAGAGAAGTACTATGGTACTGGCAGAGCATTACCAAGTAGGTCATGTGACTAGCAATGTGAAGTGATACCTCTATTAGTATTGCCAGTCGTTAATATGATCAGGATGCTGCTCTACTCTTTCATTAAATCTCTCACTCTATAATTATACTTTGTTTAGTTGACTCAATGGATGGTTATGACAGTACAGAACCCGTACGTAAACGTAGGAAGACCAGCAGTAATGGCAGCGATATTATAATGACAACCTATCAACTGCTCTGGAGAGATGTGGAGGTGCTACAGAAAATGAAATTTGGTGAGTATTTGTGATTGGCTTCTAACCACACATTCAACTGCACCTCACCCCAATAACTATAAAAAAAATCTGTGAAGATAAACTCTTCAATTACAATTCCAAACATAGGTTCAACTGATTTGATTTCTTTTTAGATACGAATCAATTTTAAAGCAGGTATTGGTGTATACTTTGCAATTCGTTACACAGGCACAAAGCTTACTGAATGTAATACTATTAGAATAGACCAGAAATCTTCAATCTACATCAAATAAAGTGATATTACAGTGATAGTACTGTATACATTTGAAATGCAGTGTTTAGGTACAACAAATATTCTGTAACAATATTTTGTTTAAATTACAGGAATGATAGTTATTGATGAGGCTCAACACATCAAGTAGCTTTAACAATATTTTGTTCAAATTACAGGAATGATAGTTATTGATGAGGCTCAACACATTAAGTAGCTTTAACAATATTTTGTTCAAATTACAGGAATGATAGTTATTGATGAGGCTCAACACATCAAGAACTTCAAATCACAGACCAGTAAGTGTCTGAAGAAGATCAAATCACCGATGCGTGTTGCTTTGTCCGGTACACCAGTGGAAAACAAACTGTCTGAACTGTGGTCTGTGTTTGACTTTGCTATTCCAAAGTATCTTGGCACTATAAAGGACTTCAGTGACAACCTTGCTAAACCAATTGAAGTAAGTTTTATCAACTTTTATATTGTTGTAGTCTCTTGTGTCTTTGTTCTGTTTACCTTGCTCATATCATCAAAGATGAAAGGGAAAGGTATATTAAGGGAAAAATTTCCACTCAGCGTCGTTGTCGTCATCGTCGTTGTTATTGTGTGCACAATAACTTTACTAATTCTATTCCAAACTTTATTTAGTATATCAAATGCAGTCTCTATTTAATTTACTGGGGATTCAATTGACATTAAATGCAGTGTATCTGTTTGATTCAGTGCTGATGCATATGACTTTCTTGTTTCTTGTTTGATGCAAATACTTTTGACGATGAAACAATGAAAACATTATGACAGGCATATACAGTAGATGTTGGACCAGGGTGTGGTACAGTGGTCAGCTTGTTTGTGCTGTATTGAGGTAACTGTGAATTTAATTCACTCAGTTGAATGCTCACTCAGAGTGCTTATTATCCATTACATTTGTGAGAATGGTTTGCACTGATGTGAATCGATTCACTACGTTCAATTACCCACCATAGACTCTGGTCAGTCAAAATAACTATTTTGAACTGTAGACACCAATCTGTGATTCAGCCAATGACGGAGAGAGAAATCTAGGTCAGGGGAAGCCCCATAACCTCAAGATTCTCCCCTTAGGTCACAAACCACGCGACCGAGGCAATGAGGCGGCGTCATATTGGCTTCCAAATCAGTCTTGTTTTTTTCCGCGCCGAGTGAGGTGAAGCTTTAAATATTAAAACAGCAAAATAAAAACATTATAAGCGAACCACCAATAGGAGCACACAATAAACTGAAAACTGTATTTTATTGGTCACTGGATCATTAAAAGAACGCATTCTTTGACCATAGACTGACATATCCCATTTATGTGTCCACATTTACTGTACTAATAAAGCAAATATACATCTCAATGAAAACATGTATACATAAAATACTACTACAGTTTTAACACAGTAACTTCCATATGTGTGCAAGATATAAAGTGATGTCTAGTTACATACTAATACAATATTTTTTTTATAACTAGATTGAGAGAGATCCAGAAAAGCTGTGTATCCTGAAATCCATCACTGCACCATTCTTGATGAGAAGACTTAAAACTGATAAGAATATAATCAAAGATCTACCAGATAAGGTTATAGACAACAAGTATGTAAGTCTGTCTACAGAACAGGCTGCCCTCTATGAGGTGAGTACTGCCCTCAGTGTTGTATATAATCAAAGATCTACCGGATAAGGTTATAGACAACAAGTATGTAAGTCTGTCTACAGAACAGGCTGCCCTCTATGAGGTGAGTACTGCCCTCAGTGTTGTATATAATCAAAGATCTACCGGATAAGGTTTTAGACAACAAGTATGTAAGTCTGTCTACAGAACAGGCTGCCCTCTATGAGGTGAGTACTGCCCTCAGTGTTGTATATAATCAAAGATCTACCGGATAAGGTTTTAGACAACAAGTATGTAAGTCTGTCTACAGAACAGGCTGCCCTCTATGAGGTGAGTACTGCCCTCAGTGTTGTATATAATCAAAGATCTACCGGATAAGGTTTTAGACAACAAGTATGTAAGTCTGTCTACAGAACAGGCTGCCCTCTATGAGGTGAGTACTGCCCTCAGTGTTGTATATAATCAAAGATCTACCAGATAAGGTTATAGACAACAAGTATGTAAGTCTGTCTACAGAACAGGCTGCCCTCTATGAGGTGAGTACTGCCCTCAGTGTTCAACAATCTAAAGAATCAAAGATGTCCAATACTTAGCACTTTAAACCTTGAGTTTTGGATTTTGTAACCCTCAAATTCTGCTTCCGGGAATCACAGAATGTTTGGGATCCTAATCTCTACAGTTCAGCAAGTTCTGTGTTGCATCATATTAATTATTTTTTGTTTTCTTCAGAGCTTAGTACGAGAGATGATGCAGAAAATCATTGAGTGCAAAGAGAAAGGACAGAGGAACAAATACATCTTTAAAATCCTGACACACCTGAAACAAATCTGTAATCATCCAGCCAACTACCTTGACAGTAAACCATCCATAGTAGAGCACTCTGGAAAGGTACTAGTTTTACGTCTTGATGTCTATACACAAAATCAATATATCAACATGGCTTTTCATTTCATCCTTGTTTTCTGTGTACTTTGATTAGACCCTGTTTGGACTATGTTTTTTTGTCCTCACTTGTTTCTCAGACATGCCTAGACTGATCACTCTCAAATTTACACATACATCGTATATCTTGGGATATGTTTGAATGGCTATTCGTTTCACAATCTGATTCAAGATAGTGGAATAGAAGCCATTTTTGTGCTAACAATTCATCAAAATCAAGCATTTCTGGCATTCCAGAACAGGTCATGTATAAATGGATTTTGCTCTAACTTGGCACATACATTGAACATAATGGTATTTTGTTGCATGTCATTTTGTTTATCTCATTGGATTCAAAATGGCTGACTGGCTGCCATATTGTTTTAATGAATGCTGTAATATTCCTGACATGCTCTGTTTATATTCAGATTTTATGTATTTCCTAAACTGTTTAACTTTTTGATAACAATTGAATTCTTCAACTCATTATACATTGTGTTTTTCTTTTTTTAGATGAAAATGTTGGTTGAATTGTTAGAACCAATACTGCAGCAGGGAGAGAAAGTGTTGATCTTCTCCCAGTATGTTAGAATGATATCACTAATGGCCAAGATGCTGGAACACCACTTCCACATTAAACCACTAACCTTAGAAGTATGTACAGTAGTCATTTATTTGGCTTAAAATATTTTCTCATTGTTTTGTCTCAGTGAATTCCAAGAGGCAAATAACTATACAATGTTTAGATAGAGAGATAAAGGAAATAAAAGTTACATCTTGGGGTTAACAATTAACTATTACTAACTGAAGTTTTGAATGTCTTAACATTTTCACTGCAGTCATGATGCAGAATATAGAAAATAATGGGAAGCTATTTGATTGGAGGAGAGAGGAGGGTGGAGTTACGTTACCGATATATGTCTTATCACACATACATAGGCATGATCCAATACAAAATCAGATAAAAACAAACTTTACACATATTATTTATATATCAGCCAAGTTCTGATTCAAAATGGCCAACTGGTTTCTGTTATCTCTTGCATGACAATTGATAATTTCTTTTTATTTCTTAGGGTTCCATGTCGCAGATTAAGCGTGATAAAGTCATCCACGCCTTCAAGACTGAACCACATCAACAGGTGTTTATTATCTCCCTGAAAGCAGGTGGCACTGGGTGAGTATGTGTAGGACCAGTGTGGTACAGGAAAGCTTTGACTTTGCAAGTGATATCAAATTGTAGTGATACATTCTACTATTGCTTGTCCTTGCTTTTTATCCACCCTTGGCATAAAACCAACTTGAATTCATCATACCTAATCTTTGCAGATTGAACTTGACAGAAGCAAATCATGTGATACATTATGACCTGTGGTACAACCCGGCAGTAGAAAACCAGGCAACAGACAGAGCATATCGTATTGGGCAGTCCAAGTCTGTCTTTGTCTATCGAATGATTACAGAGAAGACATTTGAAGAAAGGATAGATGAGATGATTGTAAAGAAGAAAGATCTGTCTGACTTGTCGGTTAACGTTGGTGAGCAATGGATCGGCAGTATGAGTAATGATGACCTCAGAGCTTTGTTTAGCAGAGGATAAGAGTCTGGATATAGTTCCAGTTTTGGCTACTGCAGCTCATATTAGCTCATTAAGCTTAAGGCAGAAATCCAAGCCAGTAATTAAGCATTTTTCCGTTACATACAACTGAGAATACCATAATCGAAAAAATTGGTACAAAGCATTTTAAAGAATTATGGTAAACTACTTTCATTTCACAAGACAAATTTGTGTCAGTCGGAAAACTCATTCAAACTTTGCAGCCACAAACTTTCTACTGCGATCCTTATTGTGCAAGTACTAAAAAAAAAATAATCGAGGAGACTTCTATCTCTTAGCTTTCTTTGCTGGCATATTCCTTGGACCATTGCTTTGTGCTGTTAAAAAAGTATATAAGAAAATTACAGATCATATACCCCGTCGCAGGGTCTATTGTCACTGCCACTTGCATTGTGCAAAAAGTCATGCTACAGGAGTGGCATGCATAATGCATGTAATCACGGATGTTGATTTCTCAGTTCTCATATAAAAGTGCTCATTAGTATTTATTTAATATGTGCAATGTATTTTAGAAAGTTTTTAATATATTATTTATGATTATTACTAACTTATTAGCTTTTATTGTTTGATTTATAAATATTTCAAACTATCTAAAGTTTGTTATGGGTCATGGTAAATATGCTTTAATATGACGATGGTGTGGTACCCGTGTACACCATTTCACTCTGCCTTTGTCAACAACCAAGGCTTCAGTTCAATCAAACCCTCAAAGTGGTAAATTATGTCTACTTGTCAAACAAAATTTAACTTGCAAATTTCGAGAAATTCATTATGAATTCTATCACTGGTCTTCCACGTTGACAGTACTGTTGAGTCAAAACTATCTCTATTTTGAATGTAGTCATTATACATTATAAAAAGTTTGAAATGTTTTCTTTTTTATAACGGCAAAAAATAACCTAAAACACAGTGTCTTTTTTTTTTACATTAATCAATTACAGTTTATGTTATTGTTTTGTTGTTGTTGATTACAATTGAATGTATTTGTCAAAAGTTATTAAATGTTTTTATAAATTTATATTAAAATAAATGTTGGCATTATTTATGCAACTGTAATTCTGGAGTTCTGTCTTGGAGATGTACGTGATGATTTTACCATAGAAGAGCTATAATGTTATATACCTTTTTTAGACTTCATTCCTTTCTTTTATAATATTTTGGCAGAAAACCAGATAAAGAAAAGTTGCCCCTTTTGAACTTATGTGACACACTGACTCAAAATAAATAACTTTGTTTTTCCACATCATACCCAGTTATGAACCGTATTGACTGCCACAAAACAGTTTATTACCTTGCCCGTACCATCAAAGATGGAAGGAAAGGTATATT